CACAGTAGGTAACTGTCTGTCAGCGTTTTATGGAATTCAACCATTGGCAAGAAGGTATTGGATCCCGTCATGCTGGGTGGATCTCGGTGAACAGTCTATGAGATTGAATGGTTAGCCGAAGGGATCTTTATAACTGTCAAATGGGGTGGAAATTTTCGACGGGAAATGTGACTTTGACCGTTTCTGGACTTTCGGGTTGAAGAGGCTCTTGCATAACGATGTACGAATCTGATTGACCAATCTACCCTGTCATTATAATGTCCATTGATAGGAGTAAGGTCCCGCCTGAGAATTTGACGCCGATAATGCCACCTGCACTTAGAGCTGACGACGAAAAAGCTTTCATTTTTGGGTTTTGGCAGTCTTTCAGCAGCCCTGCTGATAAGTGTTCTTTATCTAAGAGTGACATTTCAAGTTGATTCGACGGGTGATGAATGTCGGTTATCACTGAGTCACGAAAGCTTCGATCGCCAGTCTTCAGTAACCTATCATGGTCGCCTAATTCTGTTAAATACATTGGAGAATTTCAAAGGATTGGATCGAAAAGCATTACTATTGGAAGAGACGAATAAGGTATGTCCAGCTTTGCTTTCGGGCTTCTTTTGAAACTTCATATCCGTTTTTTTTCATTTCCTTCCTGCGTCTAATGTTTAGCTTTTATTTAATCGTCATGGCATTTCATCAAAATATGAGTTCCGGCCGTGACTTTTTGTATTCTTTTTCCTCAGCACACGCGCGTTCATACTTTGCGTTAGCGTTTTGAATGTATTCAGCGGTACGTCTGTGCTTTTAAAGACAGCTCCCGCGATAAAAGTCTCATGGATAGCTGCTTTCCAATTATGAAACAGTAGCTGATAAGTAATCTCCCAAAGAAGAAAACAGGCAAGAAGCGTTCTCCAGAACAACATAAACAAAATCGCTCCCTCACAGTCACACCTCCCTGCGGTCTCTGTGCAACCCCTAGCTCACAAATCTCTCTATCACATCTCCGTGTAGTCTCTGTACTATCATCTAGTGCAGAAAAAAAGAACTACAGAAGAAGAACAACACAACCAGTAGGAAAAACTCTTGGAAAGGAAAAGGAATTTTAGTCAACGAGGCCTATCGCTCTGATTTGCAGGATCACGGTAGCTTAGCGTGCATTTATGTTCTTTGTTGCGTCGAGATTTGGATCACGGAAAATTTGCCGTCACTCGTGCTTTTGACTGTCGGGGGTTGGTTTTGTTTGGTGGCCGAGCTCCGGGCGCCGGGCGGGCGTCGGCGCGTTTCATCCTCGAAATGAGTCTGAACTTGTATATGATACAGTAGTACCTCCAATGACGTAAACTAGTAATGAAACAGGAGCGGAATCGATCCCATGGGATAGCGGAGATAACCCGCCCCCCCAACTAAGACACAAAGTGGAAAGGGCGAGTGGCTCAGCGGGTGGACATCTAAGCAATAGCGGTCAGACTGCTGACCAGTCGTACTTAGACACTGAGAACTTACAGCGGCCCGCAGCTCGGCTTCTCGCTCGGCTGTGAGTACGAAAGTAGAGTCGGAGACAGTCTCTAGCTTTGGGGCTGTACTACTTGCACAAGGAAGGACGACCATGTACTACTCGAGCGCGGGGGCTGTCTTTAACGTTTCGAGTGACTAGGAAAAGTAGAGTGGTCGATTCAGCGTACACCTGTCTACGCTCCGAACGCTAGATCGTTACCTATAATTTCTAGTAGCTCAACACGCATGAAACGTTGGCATCGGATCTAAATGCCTGAAATGCTGAATCAAAGTATGAAGGCAGTCGTAGGTCGTAGTCGTAAGTGTTTTGACGTTTTGTTGGGAATTCGGGCTTCACCCCTCCCTCCTTCTGCCGAAACTGTCGCGTCTGAGAGTCTTGCCCACTCATTTTTAAAGGCAGCTTGGCACGATAAATCCCTAAAGACGAGTAGGATCAATACGCCTGGCAGGGAATTCCGCGACCCTGAGAAGGCGCTGCACAGTGCCCTTTCCAGGGAAGGGCACTGTGCAGCGCCTTATAAGGGCCCTATCAAGCTACAACATTCCGACCCAAACGCCCCACGCCCGCCCGCCCACAAATGGACGACCGTTCCTGACGCTCGTATCGATTCATTTGCTAAGCAAATTATGAAGCGAAGGGATTGGTATGAAGCGGCGCGGTTGCATGGATATATGAGTACACACATGCAGCCGTATCTTCGGTAGCGGTTATTGGCAAGATGCCTACGGGAAACTCGTCCATTTTCAAAGTCATTGAGAACGAAGGCTTTTTCTTCGCAGGATTTTGACCGTTTCACTCCGTTCTTTCGCCATTTCCCACTATATAGCGCCCTGCTAGCATTTTAGGCCAAGTACCAAATTATCGTGCCAACTGCCTTTAAGGAAGATCCTATGCAGTGCAAAGGATTTCTAAATGGCTTTATGTAATTGTCTGTGACAAATCTGACTGAGAGAAGCACTTCAAACTTTCCAGCTTTATGAGTTAGTCTCAACCATTTCCAATTTCAGGTCTGGGAAAATATCCAGTCCGGAGAATGGCTGTTGTATCCGGAACGATTGGTTCCATTCGTATTTACGGTGTATGCTGATCTCAAGAAATTTCATTATTACTATTGGAATTGCTTTCCAGCCTTGTGCTTCCCTGAAAATATAAAACAAGAGGTCAGAGTCGTTGATGGCCTTTGCCAGTGTTTTTCTCTTCGTTGCAGTTATAAATTACTATTATGAGATCCGGCAAACAATTCGTTTCTATTTGTTTTATTATAGGTGTCTTCTTTTGCGGGTGATGCTGGAAAATTGATGAGTTATTTCAATGACACAAATTTCCATGCTTTTCTTTTGGATTCAAAGGGAAATTGTTTGTCCCTACTCGATCTAGGTGCCATAGATGATGCTACAGACGTGAAGGTAGGTCTAGCACTTTTTCTGTTGATAAATTCGTCCTCTCTTCTACATAGGGGGGGGGGCGTAAAGCCTTCTGGTTTGTGCTGAAACTGCGGAAAGTTAGAAATAACGAATGCCATAATGGAAACCTCGTTTCAAAATTGGACCCCGCCGACTTAGCTCTCTATGGCTGCATTCATACTTTGCGATTGAGGAGATTCGGCAATTTGAGATATTGCGTAATGAGGAACGTATAGGTGCAGATCTGACAAGTACAGAATTACGAGCAGAATTGTGCAAAAAAAATCAGTGATTCGAGGGACTCGGCGATCCAGCATTCCGGGAGACTCGGCGATCTGGCGTTTTGGGTGATCGCCGAATCTCGCGATAAGGAGAGAGGACACAGCCTTGCCTTCAGGGCCTCTTCTCCCTCTTTTGTTGTGGCGAAGGCACGTTCTGTCGTTGGCAGGAAGTTTTTCAAAATACAACCCCCCTCTCACCCAAGAAAAACTGAATCTGCTTTCCCAGTAGGACCCTCCTTCCTTGTCCCCCTGTTGGCTACCGTCTTACTGTAAGTTCCCGACTTCCTCTTTTTTTCAGTCATCAATTTTCCGAAATTTTTTCCCAGTTTTTATGCTTAACCCCAAAAAATACTGTCGTTAACGGAAAAATCGAGGAAAGTCAACAATCGGGAGCATTTTGCTCGAAGACAGCCTCTCACCCCCTGGTTGTGGCTCTACAGGGATTCTAACACTCTCCATTTAAAGGCAGCGAATTTTTTTTCTTAGAAC